TCCGGGCCTTGGGCCTCTTGTCTTAAATATATTGAAATTGATATTGAAATTGAACGTGACCATTGCTGTTAACTGGCAAAAGTTCAAGTAGCTTCGGTGTATTTTCACTAAGGCGACAAACTTTATGCGCCATAACTCGTATAACCCCTAATGGTCGTTGTTTCCAGTACATTCTTTGATCTTTGCGAGACAGTGTGCTAGGGAAATTCATGGGCCATGACATATGGTAATGCCACACAGTAGTGCATGGATAATCCGGACAGACTGGGTGTAAATCTGAGGCGAAACAGACGGGTGTAAGTTTTTGGTTTCAGTACCGACAAGCAGTGTTTATGCAAAGTGAGAAATGCTGGTAAAAACACTTCTGTCTTGACCAAAACCACACTGATTCTCCCTTTTTTGCGCATAGTGTAAACGCAGATACGATTGAAGAGGACGGCTGCACAAATGTCTGCGGTACTATCAAGGAGGCTTATATGATCCTAGTTATTGCATGGACGCTTCTCATGCTTCCTGACTAGTAGCTAGCAACAGCATTGCTTCGGTCGATCGGAGCTCTTTCCGCTCGCCCAATATTTGCTAGCAAAACGCGCAGTGGTAAAAAAACACAGTTGAAGAGTACTTGCAGAATGTGGTTGAGGGGTGACACTCGCCACATGCCTTGTCGTTTATTAGTTGGACTATCATGTTTACAATCTTCTTGGTAGATGGGGCAATTTGCTTGAAGTTGGGGGCCGGACGCCTTCAAACCATACAGCTGCTAATGAGATCGATGTTTCTAGGTGAAAAGGCTAGAAAAAAAGCTTTTTCCATCCGTATTTTGTGTCCAACATGGACACAATAGTGGCATCTAATTTCTATCCAATGATGTAAGCTACCGACCGGAGGAACTGGGTCGACTTCAAAATCCGTTGTCGCCTCCTTGTATATCCGTTTTTCTCTGACAGCTCTATTAGAAACTTTGTCGCTTTCGTCTTAGACAGGGTGAGTAATTGCAAAACGTAGATGTCAGTCAAACGTTTCTGCCATATATTTAATACTTTCAATAATGGTTCTTGACTCCTTATATTCCGAGGGGAGTATATTTCAGTTTAAGTTGAATGCTGTCTACCGAAGAAGCCTCAAAGCTATTTTGCATTCACATCTGTGAGAAAAAGCGGGTTGGGATAGCAATATACCATCTTTGAAATGTTCCGTTTACTGTCTGCACACAGACTGCCATACATTGATGAAACGTAATCTAAGCTACAGGCGAATCTTTGCAGGAGCGTGGTCAAACATTATTTTTTTGTCAATTCTGGCGTCGCGCATCGCGCTGAAGTGTAGCACTGATCTGCTTCCTCGTGTTCGAACAAGCGTGTAAAGGAAGTTTCACTATATAATCCCAATTGAAGGGCTATGTCTCATAGGGTATTTGAAATAGGCATTTCTACCGATCGGGTGGTTCAGAACATTGTATTATTTAAGCCTTTTAGTTTCTGTAAAAGCTCAGTGGCTAATGCGCTGCCTCATATTTTTCCGAATATTATTCTGGCATTTCACTCCCTCCCAACTTTTGCGGTAGCACACGAGGATATGCGTTACTGGTGCTTGAACATGTTTTGTAGCCTGAGTGCTAAAAATCGACACGTAAACCGCACCAGTTGTGTTTTTGATGCTGTTAGTACAAAGACGTATGACTATCCTCTGGTATGACATCATTTCTCAGTGCATAAGTACTCACTTAAAACAGCTGCGGTAGGGTCCGATACAACTGGCCTGGATAATATCGTGGATTGCACTTCTCCACTTTTGAAGATGCGTTGTAGCGCATCTAAAGAGCTTGCCACACCCTCTTTCTTCTCCAGCAACGGGGACCGAACATCGAAGGCGGCAGGTGTCAATAAAAGCTTTCTCGCTCCTCCCCTCCCTGCCACAATATTTTTCTGAAGAAATGCAATACCGTAATCGACCCGATGACCAGGTCAAGCCTCCTCTTTTTTTCACTGGACGCTGCACTTGAATGCATTCGTTATGTTGTCGTAAACAGCACAGTTTTTTTTATCGCGCGCTACAATAAAAGTAAACGTGGTAAATTTTTGTGGCAACATTGTGGTCATTTACATTTCTTCGTATGCTACAATATTTAATCATAATATCGTATGCTTAGATGAGCAATGTTCAGCACACGAAAGATTCAGGACTCGGTAGGAAATGCACACTTCTGTCAGTACCGTTCTTGCAGGCATTATGAACAGAATTCAACAATGACGTTGGAGTAGTACTGGACGTTGCTACGTTCACGGGCTACAATGCGGTCCCTTGATTGATTTCACGGGGGAAGGGGCGTACCGGATCTATTTTAGCCTAAATTAGACATCTTTCTCACTCGTAGGTACCTACCTTTATGTTCCCCAGCGAGCGGAAAAGTAATCGAAGTCGGCTTACAGTTCGTCCTCAAATACATTGCCTGCAGTAGTTCATAGCTTCGGCTACGCTAAGTCGAAGTTAATTTATGCCAAAATGTAAGCTAACACTAAAATGGAGCTCTGTTCCCACTCGGTGCTAGCGGCTTTCGTGTGCCTACGTTGAAATCTCGCATAAATGCGAAATTCGATCGCTGTTCTTCTCTTTGCTTTTACCCAGCAACTTACACTCTTTTCCGTCACGAGACGTAATTCGTGTACCTAGAAGATATTATTTCATATGGGCGGTTACTTACTAGCGCTCACATATTATTCTGACTTCGCTATTCTGTCTCCAAAGAAACATAATTATCCATTGAACTGCCACACTGACGGATATTTGTACTGTACGTCTTGCCGACATGTAAACGAAAACCTGTCGCAGCACTAGCACCGCGAAATGCATTCTGTAAAAAATGACTGCTTAAGTAGTGTGTCATTTTATCATTAAATTTTTCAGAAACCTATAAATTCAAATACGTTTTATGGAAACCGTACATAAAAGTATCCTTTCCTGTACTTATTTGATAGAAAATCACGTATTCGTGAAATTCTATGCTCGAAGAAAGTCGGTTTAGAAAAAAAAACATCTTGTAATTTCTGAATAATTTTTAATCTGACATACCGCTTAATTCGTATTCCGCGTTTCCAAACATTAACTATATTTTCCCTGTAAGGCAAATTCGTGCATTTCTATGAGGTTCCTAAAATTCTACAGTGTATGTGGGCGATGTTGTATACTTTACAAACAGCATTTATAGATGAACAGGTACGAAGCATAATGAGAAGACAATTCACGGTCTTAGAAATGTCATAGTTATAATTGTAAAACCGAATACGCTTTCGTCACGTATAGATTTTGAGGAAGACTTCGTTTCCAACAAATAAGTACGAAAAGATTATATTTGTGCATTTTCTCTATAAAAGATTTTTGAATTTTTAAGGACATTGAAAATCAGGGGAAAGATCACAATATGTAAATACTGCTTTCTACAGGGTGTAGTTATTACAAGCGGCCGAAAAAACGCCCAAAAGCTGGCATCCTGGCGTGAATAACATTTTGGGATGATATCACACTATCAGTAATATTACCATATGACTTAGGTAATATTTTATAATCGAAAACACATTTCAGAATTTCTGTGAAAATTGCATGAGAAAGCACATCCACGGTTGGCAGATTCCATTAAATTGTTAAAGGTACTTCCTCACTTGTACTTGTTATAGCTGCGGTCATGACTCATCTAGCTGGCCTCGACTGTTATCAGACATAGGGTTCATGAGGTTTCTTGGGAATTGTGGGTACGGGCGGGTCCCCAACAGCCACTCAGATGGTTTGTTCGAGGTTGTCTCCTCTAGCGCTTTGGATCAATAGCCTAATCACAAGGCAGCGATGACAAGCAAACTTATTTAATGACTGTTCACGTTAGCCATGTTACACGGTCGTCGTCAGGCTTTGCGACATTTTATAGGCTTTTGGCGTGCCAGACCTCAGCCCGTCGCACCTTGATAGCACTGTCCCTACTGGTCCGCGACTTATTGTTCGTCAGACCCGATAGACTGCTTATTTCGCATATAACCTTCACTTGAGGCCGTCCCCTCTATCCGTAACCCGTGGATGCGCCGGTTAAACAACAGCTAGGCTGCCTGACAACCCGCCTTCCCGGACAGTTGACGGTTGTGGGCTTGATTTGGATATAAAGACTGGCGTGTGTGTGGATTCCGTCCTACTGGGCATTAGTTTTCGCCTGTTATAAACTTAACAGTGTCAGGTATACAACTTCTTCCTGCCTCCAAGTGAATAGCTCTATGGCAAGATAATATTTTTTTGGTAGCCATAATTTTTCAAGATCTATGATACTGCCTTGGTTTTTGAACACTATCCCACCCCCATTCTTCTTAAAATGGCACCGTTACATAGCCCGCCTAACTGTCATCCACGTAGTTGTCTGTCGTTCCATATACCGGTTCCTAATCTCTGCTGTTTTTGACTCCTTGCTTACTTAACTTAATTTTTTTTCGTAGGCAAAAGGCAGCCATGACAGCTTTCCTCGTAGAGGTCTAAAATAAGGTAATAAAAAGATCAACTGTCGCGTAGATGACGTACCATGTTTCCGTCCAACTTCTTTGCCATCAAGCTTTGCTGCATCTAATTTCTGCTCTCAAAAGCTTCTTCTCTGTCGCCCTTACTCTTGGAAAACAGCTGCTTCCCTATTAGATGTAAAGGCCATAGGAACGTAATAGAGGGAGGGAGGGACGGGGGTAATATGCTAGTAGGTTACTCTCAGAAGTTATTTAAATTTATTCAGAATGGTTACATGTAGAGGATTAAGGGCATGCTTTTATAGATTTTATTTCAGCATTGATACGCTAAATGCCCCGTAAACTATAGCAATTACATTTCATGCCTGACCGTTATTTAACCCTTAATTGTTTTGTGGGTTGCGTTCCCAGAGGCTTTAGTTGCTTACCTGCAATTCCTGTTAGGTGCAAAGAAAGGGTAGAGGGAAACGAGGAGCACTTTCTATTTAAAGTAGCTAAAATTCTTATTCCTACTTGGTTCTACTGAGAATTGACCTTGTCCATCTTGCAGGCTTCTATGGGCGCCCGTGGACGTATCCGCAACGGAGGGAGCTTTTTCGCCGGTAAGTGAACCATTTTATAAACAGGCAAATCCTAATCATTGGCATTAAATATCGCTTCATTATCATTAGTCAGTAAAGTTTGCTTTCCTTTTAGTAGGCAATCTTATCGTGACTTGCCCTATTGATTCAGTCAAACTAAACCCAGTTGTAACGAATGACAAGGTGCTTATTTCAGTCGAATCTTTTGAGCCTCTCATTCACTAAAGAATCTATCAGAGCCTGATGCAATTGACGAAATAATGAACTGTTTGGCACGCAATCGAGGCATATTTTTCACGAGTTTGTAGTTTGTAGCCCCTTAAGAACTCCCGAGAAGACAGTTCGCGTTCCACCAATTAAATTTTGAGCCCTACAGAACAATCAAAACACCCATCCTTTTTTTGAAAAAAATATAAAATGTGTAAATTCCTAATTCCCATTTGCTCCGCAGTTAAGTCATTGAAGATAAAAATTGCATTTGTCAACCACCTAGCCCCTTTAGACGGATAAACAACACAAAGCCGATTTTTTTCCGCCTGTTGCGTGTGTTTAAAAAACCCTTCTTATGCCACATAGTGTACTGCACCTTATTGAGCCCTCAATATCTCTCCGTGTAGTTGCCTTAGTTGAGCACT